ATAGACTTATTTCATCCATCGTTTTCTCCATCAAAGTCTAAATTTAATTAAATTTATTTCATTTCCATATCCTTTACCATCACTTTATTTCAACATATTTTTAAATAAATATTGTTTTTAATATAAAATGATTGTAAATTATTTCACAAATAACAGTAAAGTAGACTCGAATACAACTCAAATGTTTTAAAAACAAAAATTGTATTCAATATATTGTTAACAAACGCCTAAATTAAGACAAATGTAAATTTATAAAAATACAACTTTTATTAAAATACCAAAAATATTTTGTTGTAATTGTGTATTAAATTAATGACAGATATTTTAAATTAGTTTAAAATTAATCCAAAATAAGAAAATTGAATTATTTTCGGAAAAGACACTCATATTATCTCAATTTCATGATTACATAAATAATAAAGAAAACAAAAAATGCGAATAAAAAGAGATACAAAATGTGTCGGTTTTGACCAGAATTTGCTATACGTTTGACGCGATTCAACGACGACGACAATAGACCCCAACTCGAGTCAAACGTGTTGTCCATGTCTTTGAGATATAAGTTCTGGTCTTTGATCTCTTCGCCCATATCGAGGGTTAACTGCGAGTCAAACGAAAACATATTGATAATCGTCACAATGGGTACAATTGCGAAGACATACCGACTTAAGAGCTCCCACTTTACTCCTGAGACCGTCGACGAGATCGTTATTTTGGGTCTCCATCTCATCCGCACCCGAAGTGCCAGAAAATCCGTTTCCATTGCCTTTCGGACCACAAATTGTTAATCAAATGGATATAAGAGTCAAACGGATTGCCGATAATTACCGTAATATTGATGAGTTGTCCGTCTGTTTGCCATTACATGAGACCTAAATTGAGTTCAAATTGTAATACAAAACAAATGCAAACAATATATGAAGTGTTGATGCAATCAATTTCAATGTGACGTTCACTACAATCAACACAACATATGTTTTCAACACAATTATATTTGTCACACAAAAGCCGTTTAAATATTAGAGAGAGAGAGAGAGAGAGAGAGAGAGAGAGAATGGCTTACAGTTTAGGCTCTAATGAATAAATATTAATGTAATCATTGCTATCCATAGTATGTAGAGTTGGCTCACAATTATGTAAATCCAAACTTCGCTAATAAACACATCAATTGAAATGTTTAATAAGGAGATGACCTCTCATTTCACATCCCTATCCACTAAAACCTGTTAGCATTCATCACATATTATGTTATTTAAAACAATTAAATTACTTTCCAATTATGCAATCGTTTTGACAATTGTTTTAAACGATTAAAATATGTAAAACACTTTATGTGTGTCCAAAATGTTAAGGCTTTTCATACATGAGATAAGATATTTCAAATTGGTTTCACATAAAACACTGCGAAACGTGTCATAATTAACTCAATTGTGGTCTCAATTAGACTATTATTATCATTGAATTAAAATAAACACAAAACTAAACCATTTATCACAATATAATGTATACAAAAAAAAGTTTCATTTGATAACAAAGTATTATATTTCGCAAAAATAACAAATTTAATACCAATTAATGAGTCGATGGACTAATTGTCGTCCGGTTTTTGTTGTTAACGTTCAGTGGATTTGTTGACAATAATAATGAGTTAATTAATAGGATATCAAATCAATGGGTCTTTTGTCACACTTTTTCAACACAACACACAAAACAATACAATTAATTTCAATATTAAAATCATATCTATTATCGTTATAAACGACTCGTATATCACTATATAATTGGTGTCAATAAATATAATCTCTTAATAATAACGATATAATTAATGAGAACCACTTCTTCTTCAGATGTGATGACAAATATATGAATCAATTAAATGAACAAAATATATAATCAAATGGTTGTCCACTTCTGGTCACAGGCGTTGACGAGTGGGTCCTATGAGTGAATACATGTCATAATAAGCGTATGAATGGCTATAATGTAGTGATAATCAGATGAGTGGTGAAGAGTGTGTTGTCTTAACTCCATATTGGATGCAGTCATCAATGGATGGATCACTCAATGGGTCTCTCAATGGTCTCCACAGACTTGTGTCACACTCTGTGTGCTCTCAAGACAAGTGCAGAAACAACTGCACAACTGATCTCACACTCAGCCACGCCTTCCCATACAACACAACACCACTACACTATCACTCGCAGCACTTCCAGTCACCACACAATCACCGCAATCGACACAATCACTGCTATATCAATGGCCACAACACATGCCATGCAATCAATGCAATCAACTCAACCACTCATCACAACCCCAACACAACACTCACTCATTCACTGCCATTAGTGCTATACCTGTACTCAACTGTACATCAGTTTCAATGCATTCAATGCTATTCTAATGCAAATGTTTATCAAATGAACGCAACCATAGACTCAATGATAGGCTCACAGATGTGGCCACACATGCCTTAACCATCACTTCATTCACACTTTTTCACTATTTTTGTTGACTATAATTTCAATGATTTTGTTTATTAACTATATTTGAGTTAATTGTGACCGTATTTAGTGTTTAATGATATCATCGATCAGTTGATAGCATATACTATAGGAGTGAGCCATGTATTGCCTATGAGGTGCGGCCGACCAACAGATGATGCAATGCTTGGCAATCATTAACTGTTGAGTGAATGAAGTTTTAACAATGTTTTCATTATTGGGATTAATCGACGCCAAGAGTTGGCCACGGATTGCACGACTCAATCATAATGACGACCACATGTATGGGACGGGTGGCCGAAGTGCACAGCCGTGTCGGGCCTGCAATGACTTCAAACAATGGGCGCAAACCAATGTCCACAACAAGACAACCGAACCAACCGGTGATCAACACGTGGGCAAAGAGTGTCCGCTAAGTCGTGACCAATTGGGTCGAAACACGTGGTCGTTATTGCACACAATGGCCGCGTATTACCCGAAAGAGCCGTCACCTCAACAGCGGACAGATATGAAGCAATGGATTGAAATCTTCGGGCGATTCTATCCGTGCGATGACTGCGCCAAAGACTTCCGCTCAGACATCGCAACAGATCCGCCGCAGACACAGAGTCAACAGGCGTTGAGTCAATGGTTTTGTCGGATTCACAATAAAGTGAACCAAAAATTAGGCAAAAAGTTGTTTGATTGCAAACGAGTGGACGAACGATGGCTTAACGGCTGGTCCGACGGGTCGTGTGATTAGAAAATGTTTATTAAAACAATAGCTTTATTTTTATTAAGTTTTTACAAACTATATTTAATTCTAAATTAAATGTATTTCTCGTTTATAATTAATAAAAATTGAAAAAATACTGCATTTTTAAAGTATAAAAATACCAAAAAATGATTTCAAACTGAGAATCAATGGAAATATAACTTATTTATAACTTGATTAATGTTTGATTGAGTTTTGATCATCAGGTTTGATATGAATATGAAGCCAATGGATCCGTACCAGTGATGTCCATAATTTGGTTCTTGAGATCCAATAGTTTGGTCTTTTGGTTTTGATAACTGCATTGACTCAACACATCCACCCATTCATCACATTGTCTTTGATTACTACACATTAAGAAATGCTTTTTATCCAAATCGCTGTCAAAGGCTGTCATCGGATGGAAAGCATTAAAACAAATTTAGCGACAAATGAATGATTGGTTTACATATAGAGAAAGCGAAACCGAGTCCGGAGTCGTCTTCCCTCTGGATGTGACACAACTCAATGATGAGGACACCGATCGGCTCCTTGTTATACACGCCTCCAAACTCGTTGACGCGATAGTAAAACAATAGGTTTCCCCTCAACTTAAACCACCGCTCTTTGAAGCCTAGTTTTGGGGTCAATGCAAACCATATAACCATGTGATCAGTGGTGCGGATCAAGTCATCCATTTGTCTCACAACTGAGTCATACCTTCTCTGAAGCCTGCGTTGGGGTTCTTGTGGTGAATGCGTCCCTCTTTGATGGCCGGACCCGACGAGTAGTGACACAACTCTTTCTCATTAAATCTCATCTTTAAATGAGATAACAATTAATAAATAACTTTCAAAACAATTCAATACTTTTCAACAAATACTGGCATTAAGTCTAACATTACTTCACATTAAATATCATAATATTTACATCAATACTACTATTCATACAAAACGTTCAATTCTTGTCTCAATTGTTCACAAAAGACATGCATTATATGCGATGAGTGAGAGGTTTGCGTCTATAAGTCAGTGCTATTGGGGGGCAAATGGGGGACAAAAATAGATGAGATATTTAAACGGCTTTTGTGTGACAAATATAATTGTGTTGAAAACATATGTTGTGTTGATTGTAGTGAACGTCACATTGAAATTGATTGCATCAACACTTCATATATTGTTTGCATTTGTTTTGTATCACAATTTGAACTCAATTTAGGTCTCATGTAATGGCAAACCGACGGACAACTCATCAATATTACGGTAATTATCGGCAATCCGTTTGACTTTTATATTGATTTGACTAACAATTTGTGGTCCGAAAGGCAATGGAAACGGATTTTCTGGTACTTCGGGTGCGGATGAGATGGAGACCCAAAACAACGATCTCGTCGACGGTCTCAGGAGTAAAGTGGGAGCTCTTAAGTCGGTATGTCTTCGCCATCGCATCCATTGTGACGATTATAAATACTTTACATGATTTGATGTTTTCGTTTGCCTCGCAGTTAACCCTCGATATGGGCGAAGAGATCAAAGACCAGAACCTATATCTCAAAGACATGGACAACACGTTTGACTCGAGTTGGGGTCTGTTGTCGTCGTCGTTGAATCGCGTCAAACGTATAGCAAATTCTGGTCAAAACCGACACATTTTGTATCTCTTTTTATTCGCATTTTTTGTTTTCTTTATTATTTATGTAATCATGAAATTGAGATAATATGACTGTCTTTTCCTTTAGTAATTCAATAGTTTTCTCGTTTTGGATTAATTTTAAACTAATTTAAAATATCTGTCATTAATTTAATACACAATTACAACAAAATATTTTTGGTATTTTAATAAAAGTTGTATTTTTATAAATTTACATTTGTCTTAATTTAGGCTTTTGTTAACAATATATTCATTTGAATACAATTTGTGTTTTTAAAACTTTTGAATTGTATTCTTTGTCTACATTACTGTTATTTGTGAAGTAATTTACAATCATTTATATTAAAAACAATATTTATTTAAAAATATGTTGAAATAAAGTGATGGTAAAGGATATGGAAATGAAATAAATTTAATTAAATTTAGACTTTGATGGAGAAAACGATGGATGAAATAAGTCTATAAAGGGATACAATCTTTATATTATACAGATTTACTTTTGTAATCATTGCTTTGTTTTTTGTAATAACTTATCGATAAATACATCAATTATTTAAGAATTAAATAAAACTTTTTACAAAAAAATTATAATTTCATATCCAATGATAAAATAGAATCAAATATTGAAAATTTTTATTATTAATATAATTATTATTAAATAGTAATAAATTTATAGAATCAATGATTTAGACAACAGACTACTGAAGAACAATGCCGTCATCGGTGGTGGCGATGACGAAGCATTCGGTGCCCACGTCTGGTATATTGGATTGCGCTCCAGAGGGCGACGAAATGGGGATTTCCATTGTCGTGATTCTCTGCTGTTGGTTCGCCTTTGCCTTCGCGTGCGTCAGGATATGCGACTTGAGATTTGTGGACTGAGCGAACTTCTTGGAACACCCGTCGAACGGACACACGTATGGCCGGTCCCCTACACACAGACAGACACACACTTCAGCACATCATTCAATCAGTCATATATACAATGCTTACCCGTATGTATGCGGACGTGTGTCCGGAGATTAAAGTCTAATGAAAACCTTTTGCCGCAGCCCTCGAATGTACACTGAAATCAAGTAAACATTGGTCTTAATTGGTGTCAAACCTAAGCGTGTAAAGGGAATGGTGTGTCACCTGAAATGGTTTTTCTCCGGTATGCACCAATTGATGTCTTTTTAATTTACTCGATTCGACGAAAGCTTTGCCGCATTCGGCGCAGACATGCACTCGTGGTCCGTGAGTGTGCAGGTGTTTACGCATTGCACTGTTGTCTCGGAACATCTTTGAACACCCTTTGCGACACAAACCACAACACCGTTAATACATGACAAACAATACCACATCTACGATGACATACCTTTGTGAGGGCACGCAATGGTACGCGACTCGTCTTCGAGCGATTGTTTTCTTGGTTTCATTCTTTCGTTACAATAAAAAACAACTTAAATATATCTCAAAACTAAACACAACTATATATAAAACGGTCAATACTTTGCAAATTCAGCCAATTGTTTGGGGTCTGAGAGGTCGACCCCAGGGATGCCTTCGCGGGGAATCTTCTTAATTCCGGTCACGTATTCATTGATATTTAACTGCGAGTGTGAAGAGGAGGAGAGATCGTCGTCCATATTTGCGGTCACTATTTCCTCTAAAATACACATCAAATTCAATATATAATAGACTGTCAAACGAAAGAACGGGTAATAAGCCATACCCTCGTCGGTTCCGGTGGCCCACATCGTGACACTGAACTCTCCCTCCAATGTCTTGATCTGAACCTGTTTTTGTTCCCATTTCCGATTGGAAGAGCCGCCAGACCTTTGTTGCGACGATTGGAGTAATGTTGTGCCGCTTTGGGCCGACCTTTTGTTGCCTCTCTTTGTGCCGGAATTCAGATTTGAAGCTATTATTAGACAACAAAACACAAAATTAATAAAAACGTAAAAATGAAACGAGAATCCGATGTAAGACCTGTTCTCCTCTTTTTAGTGGTCGTTGGAGTGGTTTCTATCATTATTTCGGGAGCACTCGACGGAAAGACGGAGACGTCGTTGTGGTCGTCGTCGTCATCGTTCCAGTGGTGGACGAAGTGGTGGTCGTCGTCGTCGTCCGGTTGGAGGGCAACCATCTGTCGGTTCCGTTCATCTGTTTATAATTACAAACCAATTAATAACTAATTCAAACATTACTCGCAAAACACATAAGTGTTTACAAAACTAAACAATCTATTGATAAATAATGTTATCTATAGATAGATATGAATCCCAATTCATATGAACAGTAATTAAACACTGTTTGCAGTCGTTTTGCATTCAATTATAAGAAATAAAACTAAAACATTCAAAAAGTTCTCAAATATCAGTCAATTATTTGCAATTAAAACAGCAAAACATATGTTGTATTAAATCACTAATTAATCAATTAATTGAATTGCTTTACATTGCATTCAATTATTGCAAAAATACAATCAATTTCAACGCAAAAACAATTATCAAGTAATCAGTTGTTGAATAAAACTTCACTAAAATATAATCAATAATAAAATTAATTAAAAAATAATACAAAAAACACAAAAACTAATCACAAACTGAAGGAAAAACACACCGAAAAGCGATCACTGAATTAAAAAACCGATAATTAATACCAAAATCAACACAAAAACTACAAAAAAGTAAAAAACAAACAAAAATAATGCGAAAAAAGGCATAAAAAAGCAAAAAACAAGCGAAACAAACGCATCGATAATATCAACACTCGGTGTCCAACCATAAGACGGGACCAAATGGTCGGAAACGACAATAAGGTTCGGATGGTTTGGACCGCAAAAGTATTGCAAAACTTTTGTTTGCATTAATCTCAGGGATGTAATGAAGACAATGACTGTTTGGCGGATCCAATACCTGAATTGCTGTTGTCTTCGTCGTCGTCGGTGTCGGTGTGGATGTGATGGATGTGGTGTTTGGTGTGGACAGGGATGGCCTCGATCTCCACTTCTTGCACTTCTAGGATCTGGTCGTCATGAATGTCGGCCATTAGTGTCAGTCAATGTGTTGTCAGAGATGGCGAAGCAAACAATGATGGCTGCGATCACAGCAATGGCCGTCAATGTTGTCAATCCAAATACTGCACAGCACTAGACCTACACTCACTCTATCACTGCACCCACTGTACCGGTTCTACGTGTCGCACATGTATTGCCAGTACAGCGAGTGCTGCGAAGTAGCGAAACGCTGTGCCTATGCCTCTAACCACTCCTTTCTTTGCCATGCATTTGAAAAACGTCACAATAAATGGCATTCAATGCAACCAATCATAGCATCGCTTCATTACTACCACTACTCTATTGTTTTGCCTTTACTTTTAAAGTTATAGTTTTATTACAAATTAATTTAATTTATAAATTAATCATTTATTGAAACATTGATTTAATTTTATCGAAATATTAATATTAAACCACACTTTCAATGGCCAACAAAACCCAAAACAATACAGTTATCTATAGTTTTAATAATTTTTATAAACTCTCAAAAGTTATTAAAAGTTTATTTTAATTTTTTAGTTAATAAACTGATTAATAATTTTTAATTATTTACTTGATTAAATAAAAACTAATATTTATATTAACATTTTATAAATATAAATGTGAACTCACATAAATTCATTTAAAGTACTTTTAAAAATTTGTAATATAATATATTGTACAGAATATTAACTAATGAGATATAAATTTACCTTGGTAACTCAACCACTAAATTGACCTTTTTACAATTATATTTTTAGTAGCATGATCTAATATTAGGTTACCATAGCTAGCACTTTTTATTATTAATTCAATATGAATACTATATAAATTCTATTTCTATAACGTTATAAATAAATAATTATTAAAATATATGACAAATTAAACCTAGTTGTAGTAAACATATAACTAGAATTAATAATATTTGTTACAACTTTTATTTGTTTTATAGACAATAATTCTAGTTTAATATTCATATTTAGAAAAGATGACAGAATTTGAAATTAACGTAAGTTTTGGTTTATATCTGGTTTATGGCTAGAGATGGAGCACACGTTCCCATTCTTATCCCACACAGAATCTGCCGTATATTTCTGAATGCAATAATTGCATTGTTATTTTATTAATTAACTAGCATAAAATGTATTGCCGGCCCGATCCGGTTTGGTTTTATTGGTCAAGTTTTTAAGTTGTAGTGAAAACACAAAATAAGTGTCATTTATTGAGTCATTATTAATATGCATTGCATTCCATTCGTGTGTGGACTCATCCCATTATTTACTACGGGTAGTACCAATTATTGGGTACCCAAACTATAGCTTCTATTCTATTAAAGGGGATATTAATTGATAAAAAAGCGTGTAATTGTGTAATAATATTAAATTGCTAGGTTATGTTTAACTGGTTGTCGGGCATTGCATGCGTTGGCCAAAGACCGTAAAGTATGGACAGTGTTATGGTTCGGGTGGGCGTTCATCATATGGACAGTCATAGTGTTGGCCAACTATTGACAGTTACATTTATTTTTTGCCTTTAAATACAAAATACTTTACCAACATATTTATGTCAGTTTAATATTTATTAGTCTCATGAAAAACATTATACCCAACGATATAATCTATTTAATTAAAATTTTATAATACAAATTAAATTTTTATTATTTAAGTTAAATTTTAAAATTATCACATAATTACTTCATAACCGCGGAATTGGTTTATAATAAATAGTTTCCAACAATAAAAGCCAATTCCTTTGGCGCCGATTCTTTGTATTATATTTGTTAACTATATTATAAAATATAAAACATTAAAAATAATAGTAAAAATATACTAGCGTGTTACCTTAAATTTAACGCGTAATGGCATATACTTAGAGTGCAAAATGTATGAATTTAACAATTTATACGTATAATTCGCCTCATTATATAATGCGGACGAAATATGGATTATTAATAATAAATAAATACTGGAAAATATTGTCACTGAAATCTGAATAACTTTAGCCAATAATATAGCTTTAGAGTACATTGATATGTAGACTAATAAACTTATCATGGTGCTAAATGTTAACCATATCAAAAATAAATATTTTGACCAATATATTGTATTATACTGAGCGATATTGGCATAAATTGTATTAAATTTATGAATAATCGTTATAATACTAATGCTTGGTTTATGTTTAAGTAAATTGTCCATAATCGCAGTATTTAATGTAATAATCTGGCACTTGAAATAAAACGCGATAAAAATGTAATAGATAGTTTGATAAATAATCATATTGTACCAATAATAACTTAAAACGGCGTAAAATGCCGAATGAGCTAGGTTTATAATTAATAAATAAACATTATTGTGATCAAATAGTATGTATATAGTAAATGGATACATAAACCCCATTAATCCTTCAGCTGTAGTCATTATTCTTGCAAAAGTTGTCAATTTTTTAAGTAACCTGGACATCTTTTTAATTAATTCCATGTCTGTAATACCTATAGCTTTAGGTGTGACAAAACCGGCCATCATTTGAAATACAATCAAATCTAAAGGTTTTACACCATTTCTATAGTTTATGTAATTTATTAGTTGCGATAATATTGCAAACAATCCCAATAAAAATAATGTCAAATTCATAGTGAATCCAGTTTGTGATAAATGATCACAATCACCTAGATAGATATAGTATACATCGGGCATATCTATACCTTTAGCATAAATGAATAAAAGTGCTAGATTTCTAAACATCATCATTAAAAGACCACTTAATACTATAACCGGATGAAGTAATTTAGCACGTTTTGTATTTAAATACTCGGATTTAAATAGTGATAATCCAATGCGATAGAAATGTTGATCCGCACCAATTACTCGCAGTTCATGAGTTATTGGTTGATCTAGATCACTTTTTAGATTCATTTCCGTTTATTATTTCTTTAATAATATTATTAATTTTGTATTATTAAGTAAAAGACTAGTATACACTTGCTATACAATATTACAAAATGTTTTAACATAAATTTATAGACAGTTTAAACAAAAATAATATACAATAATGTATTTTTGGTGCTATTACATTTACATGTTTTATTATCAATAACAAAATTACATGTTTATTATAAGTTATTAATAATAACCTATTATGAATTTTTTTTTGCGTTTTTAAGTGCTATTAATGAACTATTAAAATATAAAATTAATT